GAGTCAGATATGGGGGATCCTTAGAAGAAGCTGAAGAGTGGTACACGAAGAATATTGTCCCTGGCAAGACAGTACACGAAGGAGTTCTCAGCTATCTGGATTGCAAGCTTTCTCCCATATGGGCATCTTATCAAAGCTCTGGAAATTTATCTAAGATCAGAGCAGAAATTAATGAAGAGCTGCTAAGGCTTTAAAGATTGGAGGAAGAAGCTCTGCAAGCAGCTACTATGGAGAATGTGTAAGAATTATTTCTGTAAACCATATCTAATAAAATCACATCTCTATCTTTTCACTTTGTAAGGCTTTTCCTCAATTCCTGTCTCTTTGCTTTCTGTCTGTGTTTGCCTTTTAATTATTATCTGCTATCTGAATGTACTGCACTCTTACTATTTTCCTATGCCAAGTTGCCCACCAAGATTTTAATGAAAGTTTTAAACTTTAATTCTTTATGGTGAAGGCACTTCTCTGGAAATAGTTAAAGGGTTTTGGCATCATCAAAAGGGGGAAATTGTAAGGAATATTTGTAATTAGATTTTGATGATGCTAGATTATTTAGGACTTTAGAGTACCCCTCTTTAGACTTAATGTATTAGAATTTTCCTTTGTAAAATTCCTTAGCATAATCGACTTAGCAGAAAGCCTCCAGAGCAGAAGACCTACAAAGCAGAAGGCCTCCAAGAGCAGAAGACCCTTGATAAGGCATTAGTTGAACAGAGGACCTTTGGTTCTCTGCTTCAGAACAGAAGACCTCAGGGTCTCTGTTAGCCTTTACTCTGACAGAAACCCTCCTGGTTCTCTGTTGGATATACTCTCAACAGAAGTGCTCCAGACCTTCTCTGATCAACTCTCAGTTAAAGACACCAGAAGGCTTGACACTTGGAAGAATTCCACAAAGCCGGGAAATCAACTGAAAGATTCCTTCAACGGCTAGGAGTATTGAACGGAAAAGCTACAGTGCGCGCATTAAATGCACATTTAATGCTCCCCATGCTCCGTAGAGTAATTGCAGATGATTGGCCGCAATGTCAGGATTACTTTATCCCAAAATAGTAACCCGCCAACTTTACCGGGTCCTACTGGTCAAGTCAACTGCTCGCTCATTTAATGCAGTTGTCCTCCTTCTCCTCCAACGGGAAGACAACCTCGGTATAAAAGATACACTACGAAGAACAACCGGATAACTTTGCTAACCTTTGCTACAACTCTGCATATACAAGAAATTCAAACGCTACATAGCAAAAAGCCTCCTTGAGATTAAAACTTCATCATCTTCTACAAGAGAAGGCAGAAGTTGGAAAAATCCTTATTTCCAACTCAAGCAAAGTTCCAAGCGTTCTTCAACTCTTCAAGCTCATTACTTACAAATCCCTTGTAACGAAGCAAGTTGGAGGAACCCCTGTTCTAAATAGAACCTCTTCTTTCACAAGAAGGACGTCCAAGTACCTGGAGCTGTGAAGTGGTGATACTTCTGGGAAAGCTCAGTGAAAGGACCAGTCTTAGGGAAGCCGGAAGTGCATCCAAGAAGACATCTACACTTGAAGAAGACGTGAAGAGCTTCTTAAGTGATAAGGCTAAGGCATTGTAAACGGAAGTTTTTACGAGCTTAGTGGAACAGTGGATTAGAGGAGCAAGTTGTTCCTTGAACCACTATAAAAAGCCCTGATGTCATTTACTTACTGCTTTACATTCATTGTTTTCATTTGAACTGTCTAACTCCAAAGACTTGGTATCTGTGTTCAGCAGAACTGGTCTTGTGAGTTAACAGAAGGCCTACTGCCTTTGCTTCTCTGAGGCTATTAACAGAACTCCCTACCAGAACCCCATCCGCTGCCAGTCTGTTCTGCCAACAGAACAGGCTATTCTGTTAAATCTGGTACTTAGCTTGAAAAAGTTAAAAACCAATACAGTCTATTCACCCCCCCTCTAGACTGTATCCAGTACAACCGGGACCAACACGAAGCCTTTCTAAGAAGACAAAAGAAGCTGATATCCTCTGAAGATCAAGACAAAGATAACCCGTGCTTCATTGCAAATTGAAAACAAAGGGGGAGATTGTTAGAATATATTTTATTGTGTTCAATTTAATTAGATTTATCTTTGTTTAATTAGGATTTAATTAGTGGGCCTTTGTAATTAATTAGGGGCCATTTAATTAGATTAATCCGGCCCATCCTACTTTAACTAGGATGCTCGGCCATCCCTCTATAAATAGAAGGGGAATGGACCGAACAGCCTGAGGGTTTCACAATTAGAATAGCCATATCATTCTCGAAGCTCTCTCTCTCTAGAACCCGAAGCCTCTACACATTCTGTTTCTGCATATTATTCTCTGTAGAGCCAGTAGATTAGAAATTCTCTCTCAAGCTTATTCGTTCGAGTACTGTGTAATTGTTCTTCATGAATTCATCATTATATATACACGGTATATGTTATTGGTGAGATTTCTCTTTTACTGTTTAAATTATTCATAGTATTCATAGATTAATCAACTGTTGAAATCTGGGCATATCTCACACAGACCATCATGAATTACAGGAACTCATAGTTGTGAGATCAACTATACTTTCTAAAAGTATGATGCAATCTACATACCAATCTTATCACATATCATAAATATTCTTTTCTTGATGATCATTGATCAAGACTATTTTAGGACCTTATGTTATATCATATAAGCTCTCACTTACTTATTGACCACATAAGTTCAAGGGAACACAATTATGAATAAGACATTGATAATCGAAATGCTTAATCATCAATGTGAAATACCGTATATATCAAATAATATCCTCCGTTCCATAAAAGTTGCAATAGTTTGACTTTCACGTTTGCCAATGCACAACTTTGACTGTAATTATATTTATTTACGTATTAGTAAACATTAAAAAAAGTTAATATATCGGAAATTTATATTAATACAAATTTATTAATATTTTATACATAATATTTTTATTATATATATTATTAGAAAATCGTAGTCAAAGTAAGGTGTGTGAATAGTGCAGAAATTCCAATGTTGCAACTTTTATGGAACGGAGGAAGTATATAAAACTGAATGTGATCAAGTACATATGTATCTCTAAAAAGTGATTGTCGCTAGGACACATATACTAACAGTACTAACATGCATTGTAAACCTGATGTTATATGGTCAAGATTAAAGTTATGAAATCCAGTTTTGTTGATATTTTTACTCTGTTTTTCCTATGTATGTACCAACATGGTTTTTTACTCTGTGGTTATGTTGAAGTGTTGTTATGTAAACTCTGCTTTCTATCTGAAGATGATGAGGTGTTGTGTGTGTGTGAGTTAGGTAGTATTTAAGCCAACCTAATCACTCAATGACACCTTTACATCCATTCATTTTACCAATGTGAACCTTGGTGAATATAACCACATATGGCAGCTTTACATTCATTTATTTTACCAACCTAATATATGATAAGTTGAACATAAATAAGAAGGAAAACATGACACGCATGTATAAACATAAGCCAAATACATTACACAAAAATGTCAACCATGATGTCCTTCCATCAACCCTCTTAACCAAAACCAGTTCAGTTAGGAGCTTTGTAGTCAACAAAAACCTTGTTAATGTCATTCTAGTTACATTAAAAGCAATGTTAGTCCTCCTAATCAAAAGAAGCAACTATAAGCAATCCTTCCATGAATTCTGAGAGCAAAAGCAAGCATAAATGCAGCTTTGTACCCCCACATTACAGTTAGGGTACATAACCCTGCTAATGTCATTACGGTTACATAAAACATGCCACATAACCTTCAACTCCCATAGGCTGCAACTTTACACGCAAACTAAGGAGTACATACGTTCAAAATTGAAGGTTACTTAACAACATACATGCAAAACATCATTGTTAGGGTTTCCACAGTTGCCACAACAACACTAATCTTCACTAGGCATTAAATTTGTCTCCTGCAGTAGTTGAGACCCAATAAGTTCCCTTTCTTCACAATTTCTTTTTCTTCCTTTACTAGCCCTTTCACTTATCTCCTTACTCTTTCTTTGCCTCAACCTCTGTTTGAACAATATAAAATATAATTTTATTACGGATTATGACTAAGTTGAAACATAGGAACAACATGCAATAGAAACTTTACCTCCAAACCACCCGCACTGATTGCATTTTTGCCCCTAAACTGAAACACATATCCCTATTTCTATCTTTCGTATTTGTGTTTTCAATGAAGTAAGCATGCAATCTACTAGCTTCAACATTGTTCTCATTTGGAGGAGCAAAGTGAATAGCTATATTCAGTACCAAATTGACTCTCTAAGAAATGTTGGACTCCACATTTCTTCATAACTACTAAATTGAATAACAAAGTATATCCACTTATTCAGTACATAAACATTATATCTTGAGCAAGTTTCTGATATTGCAAATACGCAATACATAGCTTACAGAACATTAATTTACATACAATCATATACATTACCGATAGGCTACCAACGTAATGATACCTTTGTTGCGTGTTTTCCATGGTTAATGCTTGAATTTGTCCTTCCGCTTCACCTCTCTAAGCTTCGGAGTCATGGCTTGCACCACACTGATTTTGATTAACTTTTCTCTAACAACGGTCATTCTCAGGGTTTGCACAACGTTATTGGTAAGTTAACGGGTGAGGTGATTTTTTTTGCCAAATAAGTATTCTGTTAGCCACCTCACCAAAATTAAAGTTGGTATGTACCCTATGTACTTGTTCAACGCACAAACTGCTAATAGATGTTCGTTTTTAAATGACTTTCAATGTTATGTACTCTTTACTCCACCGGGCGCAAGTTCATGTACTGAATCAATCATTTTCTCGATTTGAATTAGTTGGTTGTGTGACCGGCCAATTCACATATGTACACATGTTATATTAATATCTACTTGCTGAAAATAAATGATTCAAATGTGCTAATTAAGGTATTTTCATTTTTGTTCTATTCTGATACAAATTTTGTACTTGAGAGTGATTAAATTGAACAGAAATGAATTTGAATCTTAAACCAAATGTTAAAAGGAGTTTGTTTGGACATTTGTTAGCATTGGGCCTTCATATCTAATTTGTGGCCCACATGTTTAATTAACTTGAGAAAAAAGCGTCGAGAAATGGGGAATGCTTCTTCTTGCGGCAAAGAAGAGAGATTGGAAGAGATTTTTGGTTGGTTGGTGGCTCCGTTGGTTGGATCTGTCATCTCTCACCTTCAGCGAGCGATTCAAAGGCATTATTTCAAGCCGGAAAAAAAGGTATATGCATATGCTCCCTCTTTGGATCTCGGATCTCTAAACACTCTACTTTCCCTTTTCATTCTCTATCTCACCACCCATCATCGATTCCGACCATTTTATCTTCTCCGATTCCCCCCCTTTTACCCTCAATTAGGGTTAGGCTTCTCCGCTTTCCTGGAGCGTTTCCAATTTGTTGTGCTTCTTCTGTTATAGGAGCTGGAGAGGCTAGACTGTAGGATCATAGCAAACTTTGATCTCAAAGATCAGGTCTTCTGAGGAAGAAGAAGATCTGAGGCATTCATAATGAGCGCTTCCAAATTCATCAAGTGCGTAACTGTGGGTGATGGTGCGGTTGGCAAGACCTGCCTCCTGATTTCATACACCAGCAACACTTTCCCCACGGTTTGTCTACTTTCCTGCTCCCCTCCTCCCTCGAAATCCTCTTTGCCTCCTTTCCCAAAATGTGTTACATTGTTTTGATTTAATTTACAAACAAATGCGTTAATTTAATCCCCTTTTGTTGGAAACGGTTTACTCAAGCTTCGCCTATCCTTGTTGGTTTTGACAAGCATATGAAAGTTCCATCTTTGATTGCATCAATATTTGGCTCCGGTAGTTTCCTTGTAGCACAGGCATTTACGGCTGATAGTCACAATCTCGAATGTTCGTCTAATTGAGTCTATCCGAACCCAAGTTGAGGCTATGCTTCTGAGTAAGAAACTGAACAGAAAAACACAAAAAGGACAAATCTTTCTATTTTTTGAATCTTCTAAGTGTATTTTTGGATAACGGAAAATGTGAGGGAAGGAGAAAAATACTAAGGATTTTTTTCTTATGTCTAGCTTTACCTGGGAAAATGGAATATATTTATTATTCTTATTAACTATTTCATATCACTATTTAATAATAACATATTGAGAATAAAGTGAGTTTAATAATATCTAAATATCTTTTTTGAGTTTGAGTCATCCTTTATTTCCCCCAGAATTCTCTATCCATTGTATTTGTCGGATTCCAAACAGACCGTAGTTGTAGTGTTTTCAATAATTTGTGGAATACAAAGTCTGTTTTGTCTTAGGGCTGGAAGTTGGACTACCTAAGGATTAACATTTACTTCATTATCATTCCTTTATGGTTTTCCCTTGTTTGGGTGTATTGTGTGTAAGTTTTTTTAGTTTCTGATGCTCGGATGAATATGTTATCTCAGTACAAATCAACCATTGAGGAAATCAATTATCAAAGTCTGGATTGTTGAATTTATGATGCTATTTTCATTATCTATGTTGTGCAACTTCTGTAAAACTATTTAATAAGTTTTGGACAACTTGTAGCTTTTATAAGTGTTGTATTTTAAATGCATTTGGAAAGGCTTATCTACATTTATGTTAAGTTTCTCACCTTGTATCTTTCTTTTAGATTTTATTACAGAACTTGTAGAGGATGATTATTAGAGTTCAAAGATTTAATAAATGGTTTGTAAATTTATAATTTCTTATATTCACAAGTGCAACAGGATTATGTCCCAACTGTATTCGACAATTTCAGTGCAAATGTGGTTGTCAACGGGAGTACTGTTAACCTCGGGTTGTGGGACACTGCTGGTAACTATTTCAAAGTCCATTGATACTATTCCTGTTCTAAGTAAACTTCAGTAACACAGGCTTGCAGGAATGACAGGCTATTTATATGCTTAAATATGTTCTTTCGTCTATGCAAAAATAGCATTTTTTCTAGGTTCCTGCAAATCTTGTTTATTTATTTTTCATTCCTATTTCATTTTAGTTCCCCTCTGTCTGCTTCTGTTTGAAAACCGACATACCTCACAGGACTCAAGTCATGAACTCCCCACAAAAGGCTTAAAATTTTCATCTTTTCTCTGCAAATGTAGCTTGGAAATTTCTTTGATATTTTCATGGACGAAAACTGTACTTGTGACATCAATAAATCATGCGGAAAGCCCATGATGCATTTCTGTTAGCCATATCTCTCATGCCATTTTTTCAAGCAGACATAGAGGAACTTAAAAGAAAATGTGATAAATTAGAGGGATGTATAACAAATAAATTCTTTTGTGGGTAAACTATGCTATATTTGCTGGGATAAAAACATTTTTGAGCCTATATTTATGCAATTATAGGCTTACCTGTATGCATCAATATAATACCATATATACAGGACAAGAGGATTATAACAGACTGAGACCTCTGAGTTACCGTGGAGCTGATGTATTCATCTTGGCATTTTCTCTCATTAGTAAAGCCAGCTATGAAAACGTTTCCAAAAAGGTTGAGATTTGATTGTTGTATACAGAAGTTCTATTAAACATTTTTTGTGTGGTTCTTGGTAAACTCATCTTAGTTTTGATCAATCTCTTGCCAGTGGATTCCTGAGTTGAAACATTATGCTCCTGGTGTGCCTATAGTTCTTGTTGGTACTAAACTTGGTCAGTAATCATACTCCGTTCTTTTACAATGGGATCATTAATACAGTGCAGTATTCTTCTGTGGTAAAAAAATTAACTTAATTGGATTTATAAAATCTATCCGACCCCAATATCTTTTGGGACTAAGGCTTGGATGTTGTTTTTGTTGTTGTTGTTGTTGTTGTTGTTGTTGGATTTATAAAATCTATCTTTGCTTGTCATTTAGACTACAGAGTAATCTCTGTTCAATGCATATATTAAATAATTATATAGATTACTCTCTACATAGAAAGGCTCTTGTTTCATCAAGGTACAATCAATGTTCTAAAAGGTGCTAGGCGCTAGTCGGGCGCCAGCCTAGCGCCTAGGCGGTTAGGCGGGCGCCTAGGCGGTTAGGCGGGCGCCTAGGCGGGGACTAGTCGGAGACATATAAATTGCATTCTTATCTATATTTTTGCATAAATATGTTAAGTAATATTGTATTTTGTGTGTGTATAAGATACATATATACATCTACATTAACAAACATGAATGATAGAATTATCACATTTGATCATACGTAGTATATGATAACTAATCACTTAACTTCATTATGTTATAAATATAAGTAATAATAAAATTTAGGTATATATACAAACATATTGAGTTTTTATCTTACTTTAAAGCCTCATTTCTTTATATTTATGGCTAAAGTTAAAGTACTTATATCGCTTAGAAAAAAAAGTAAAGTAGTCTTCGGCGAATATAGACGGCCTAGGTGGCCGATTAGGCGCTCTTTGCGGGCAAATAGGCGCCATAGGTGCCCGACTAATTCACCTAGACGGCAAACCAATTAGTCGGAGCGTCTAGACGAAAATCGGGGCTCCCGGCCACCGCCTAGCCCCTAGGCGGGGACTAGTCGGCGCCTAGAACGATTTTTAGAACAGAGGGTACAATTATTGATTTTGGTGGAAGTATAATTCTTGTAAATTGTCAACTGTACTTGTATTTTTAAATTTATGTGTATTAAAATTAAACCTAACGTACTTATCCTGTTTGGAACACGTTTTAAAAAATGCATGAAGTTCAATGAAAAATGGCTACTTTTTAAAAAAGGGGTCTCTTTTTTGCAACAAAAGTGTGTTTGAAGCATGTCTTTTTTTGCGACAAATATATTTTCAGACAAGACTTTTAATTGGGATGGACGGAATAATTAAATGTACTCCTCTGGAACCTTCAAGTGAAAAATCGTGAAAATGTCCTTAATATCGCCTAAGCTTACATAAAAATATATAATCACTTAGTTTGTTCAAATCCACTACTAGATTATTGTGATTTTCCGATTTATCACAAAATCATATAATTACCCTTTATAATAATTGAATCAGATCTCCGGGATGACAAACAGTTCTTTATTGACCATCCTGGTGCCGTGCCAATCACCACTGCTCAGGTGTGAGCAAAACTGTTAATTCTTGTCTGTTTAATATATGGAGAGCTGAAAGATATTTTGACACTGCAGTTGTGTTCTTCAAACTAATGTGCTTTCCAAATGCAGGGAGAGGAGCTTAGGAAAATGATCGGTGCACCTGCTTATGTTGAGTGCAGTTCAAAAACACAAATGGTTTGTATTGTTTTATCATCTTATTTTGCATTTCATGAAGATCTTTGGCCATGTTTTAGCATGATACTGGGGATTAAATGATGGGGAGTGAGATAAAATTATGTTTGGGATGGTGAGAGTTCATGGGAATTGGGTATAGGCTCATACATGCACATGGTTTATGGAGTAGGGTCGGACATTTCAGATGGGTTTGACTTAAACCATCTCAAATGAGCCTAACAAACCTGAACCAAAGGATGTTTGGTTTTAATTTGACATTTATTTTTTTATATTATTTTAAATCAAACAAATCTCTAAACTGAATAAACTCAATTCAAACCTAAAATGCCAACACTTAATATGGCGGGGGAGCTTTTGGTTTTTGCAATTTCAGGAAAATATCCAAATTCCTGCCTTTTTTCAATTCCAAACAAGGCCTTTGTGCTTAGTGATTGTTGGCTTGTCATTGCTATTAATGGTTGCAGAATGTAAAAGCAGTATTTGATGCTGCCATTAAAGTTGTGCTGGCACCGCCCAAGCAGAAGAAAAAGAAGGGCAAGGGTCAGAAGGCTTGCTCGATATTGTGATTGGCTGAAGATATATGACTTAATACTATTCTCTTTTCTACACCTCATTTCATCTTGCCGCCTATTCCTTTGTTTCAGAGGGTGGGGGGTGGTCGCACATTTTAGGGAAACAAGTTTGCACAGTGATGCTGCTTTTACTTTCAATGCGTTGTATTGTCTTAATCCTTTCTATTTTCTGGTTTCCACTATACTGCATAGGATGTTCAACTCATCCATTTGATATATTGTAGAATGTAATAGTTGTATTTATTTATAATCTATCCAAAACTTCTATAGATGTCTTTGCAAGTTGGATTGCGACAGGGATGAGAAAAGTGTTTAAGCATTTAAATGTAATTGAATCAACTCGTGGTGTAAATGTGTAATTAATCGTCTACTAGTCTACCACTACGAATTGATTTCATT